GTAACCAGAGATCAAATCTGAAACATTCCTCTTAAATATTTAGCCTTAAATGCCTTAAAACACTGGCAATTGTGCTAAATGTGCTGGCTTTCTGGTGAAGCTGAGATTAAGATCCTTGAATATACTCAACCAATGAATTGTAGTAGCCCTACTTCAACCCTAACGTTCTGCTTTGAATAGCTTTCAGATCACTTTTCCACCAAGTTCACAATCCTACAAACAAAAATGATGTGCAGTGCTGTGTGTCACATCCAAGGATACAGCAGGCAAAAAACACAGCCCAGATCTAATGACATTAGGAGGCACCAGGCTATGAACAGAATGCAGTACTTTAGACACCGTCCTGATGTGAAAATGTAGACAAACTCCTCACCTTTCTCTTCTTTTTACAGAGTTCTTTGAATCTAAGCAAAAACTGCTATATGTGTATTATAATTGTTATTGATACAGGTCTCCTATTCCTTAGCAAGCTAGAATGAAAAAAGAAAACACATCATACAAAGCAGCACATAATTAGTATTGGTATTTAAGTAGTTCTGACTTTAGAATAATGCAAGGTTTATTTTCTCACACTTTTATAAATAATATGTATTCAGAAGTAAATTCCAATGTATCTCCAATTAGAGGATGCATTGAATTTACAACTGTTTTCTGAGGGAGTATGTTTCTCTTGGCAAGATATTGATTGAGTTGCCTAAAATGTCATTCACAGCAGGATACTTATGTGATGACGCTTCTATCCAAGTAAAATTGCTATGTCTAACACCTTCTTCCTCGTCAAGGAGAAACACAATTTTGCAGACAAAACAGGAAGTTATCCAAGGGTTTAAGAAAATAATTTTCTGTTTCTTTTCTTTCAGTGTAGAACTACCTTATTTTCATGCATTCCTCTCCACTATAGCGTGAGCTACAGTTAGTAAGTAGCAGATCACAAGGGCTGCTCTGAAAGTCATACAATCACATAATCACCAAGATTGGAAAAGACCTCTATGATCATCCAATCCAACCATCAACCTATCACCAATATTTCCCACCAAACCATGTCCCTCAGTACAACATTAAATGTTTCTTGAACACCTCCAGGGACGGTGACTCCACCACCACTCTGGACAGCCTGTTCCAGTGCCTGACCACT